CTCTGAATGCACAGGTCATGCAGCAAGCAGTCAGCAGACATAAAACTCAAGTTTGATAAGTTTGATGGCAGAATAGTGTAAAACAAAAGTACAGGCATGTAACGTTGACTAATTTCTTTCTGCTACTGTCAGGGTCAGTCCCTGTGGTCCTACAGTGTTAGTTCCTTATTCCTTGGTTAGTTCTTAGTTCCCCTGTTTTTTAGTTCCTTTGAGTTTATTAGTTTCACCTGTGCCCTGTTTCCCTGGTCTTTGTTAATTAGCCTCACCTGTCCTGTGTTAGTCTCGTTACCCCTGAATATTTTAGTTCCTGCTTCTGTTCAGTTCCCCAGTGGTTCGTTGATTGTTGTTGCTTGTCTAAGCTTTGTTAGTTTGGTTAGCTCTGTATTCTGTTTACCTTCCCAGTTTTTGTTATTTGTGATATTAAGTCTTTAATTATCCCCTTTAGTGTTTGACCCCCTGTGGTCATTTTGGTTTTGTGTTTGCAGTGATTGCTGTTTTATTTAATAAACCCCTTTCTGTTCCTGGAGCCGTCAGTGGGTCGTCCGCCCTTTTTGTTCCTGCACCATGCCTCGCTCCCGCGCCCGAGCTGCCCGGATCCCTGATAGCTACAAATTCAGTTTAAGTCGTTCCAGCTGGATTAACTAGCTCTGGCTTGTAACTACTCTTGTCACAAAGGTAGCCAGAAAGTCTGTATTTGGTACGAAAGGCAGAGGGAACATACTTTCTTGTTTGAGAGAACAGCTTTCTCAATTAAATATTTTTACTTGGGAGTACCAAGCAACCCAGTTAGTACATCACATGTAATTGTAGCAGATTATACTATAAAACCACAGAAACAATAAACCACATTCTCTGATGAGTTTGAATAGTGTTGTGCAAATTTGTAAAATACTCAACAAGAACTGTTAGCATGCCTCATATTTTTAACATGAACAAAGACAGGGTGTTTTACGTGTTTTGAGTGAATTACCATAGATAACATTTTGCTACTGATTTGTTTTAGTGTCACTTACAATGAATACTCTTTTCAGACTGTAGGGAGGGAGTGTGAGTGAGTAATGAAAAGGGCTCAGGACTTAAGGAGTTTCTGTCTGACAAAGGAAAAAGAGCTGCAGATACAGCGGCTTGTGAGGAATAGAGGCAGTCAGGAATGTCTGTGATCACAGCCATGAACAGCACCCATCAGCGTTCACTGATCTGAGTGCAAATCCGCGTGTGTGACGTGTACAGGAAGTTTTGATAGAATCTGAAGGACAAATGTTACATCACAGATGCAGTATCCTGGAAGCTCTGATTCTTCATCAGCACATTCAGTCTAAACCAAAACGGCAATAAATGGTAAATGACCATTATTGATTAGAGTTGCTTTTTAATACCACGATTTTCCTAATTTCCTTCTTGTTATTCCATTGTCAGAAATTGTAACACTGTGTTGTACTCTGTCAATATATGCTTGCCAATTGAAGGTTCATGAGATGCACCTCTGAGCTACTGTATTTTAGAGAACTGATTGATCATTGGTTGCTCGAATGCTTCAAACATTCCCCCCTATTGGTGAAAGTCCAGATTCAACTGAGAGAACTTCATTGATTCAGGACACATTTACAAAAAAAAAAAAAACTAATAGAGATGAATGCTGAATCTGTTTGACAGATTATGACAACTGGTTCAACCATTTTACATGTAATGACATACAATGAACAAATGCCTAAAGATTTCAATTCAACAGACTACCAATGTAATACATTTTGACCAACATGACATAAACAATTGATAATATAGACAATCAAATATAATAATTTGCATAAATATGCCAAAGCATTTGCAATTTTCCCAAAAGAATGAGAAATTGCTTTCATGGTGTGCACAAGTGACTCGATGATGTAGAAGAATTTCAATTCTGATCTAAGATATGCACCAAAGCGACTGAGAAAATCTGTAATATATACAATACTCAAAAAAATTAAAGGAACACAGAGTGTAGCATCAAGTCAATTAAAAGTCTGGGATGTTGATCTGGTCAGGTAGCAGAGGGGGTTGTTAATCAGTTTCAGCTGCTTTGGTGTTAATGAAATTAACAACAGGTGCACTAGAGGGGCAACAATGAGACGACCCCCAAAACAGGAATGGTTTAACTGGTGGAGGCCACTGACATTTTCCCCTCCTCATCTTTTCTGACTGTTTTTCACTAGTTTTGCATTTGGCTACAGCCAGTGTCCGTAACCCATCAGCAGGACCGTAATCTACTCCTTTGTGCCACTAGGAACAGGATGGGCATTGCCAGAGCCCTACAAAATGACCTCCAGCAGACCACTGGTGTGCATGTCTCTGACCAACCAATCAGAAACAGATTTCATGAGGGTGGCCTGAGGGCCCGACGTCCTCTAGTGAGCCCTGTGCTCACTGCCCGGCACCGCGGAGCTCGATTGTGCTTTTCACAGATGAGAGCAGGTTCACCCTGAGCACATGTGACAGACATGAAAGGGTCTGAAGAAGCCATGGAGAACGTATGCTGTCTGTAACATTGTTCAGCATGACCGGTTTGGTGGTGGGTCAGTGATGGTCAGGGGAGGCATATCCATGGAGGGACACACAGACCTCTACAGGCTAGACAACAGCACCTTGACTGCCATTAGATATCAGGATGAAATCCCTGGACCCATTGTAAGACCCTACACTGGTGCAGTGGGTCCTGGGTTCCTCCTGGTGCACGATAATGTCCGGCCTCATGTGGCGAGAGTATGCCTAAATCCAATAGAACATCTCTGGGACATTATGTTTTGGTCCATCCGAAGCCATCAGGTTGCACCGCAGACTGTCCAGAAGTTCAATGATGCCCTGGTCCAGGTCTGGGAGGAGATCCCCCGGGACACCATCCGTCATCTCAATAGGAGCATGCTCCAACGTTGTCTGGCATGTATACAAGCATGTGGGGGCCATACAAACTACTGAGTATAATTTCAGATGCTGCAATGAAATTTCGGCAAAATGACTTGTCTGCCACATCACTTTTTCACTTTCATTTTTTTGGGTGTCTTTGAATTCAGCCATCTGTAGGTAATTTTCATTTCCATCAAATGATGTGACACCCTTTAGTCCCTAACACATTACCCAGTTCATATCAGTATACATATCCAGCATGATTTTTTCCCCATTGAGATCTGATATGTTTCTAGCGTTCCTTTAATTTTTTTTGAGTAGTGTATTTTATATAGTTTTTTCCAAATAATTCAGCTCATTATTTTTTTTTACATTTTTGTTTAGAAAACATTTAGAACGTTTAAAAAGGTGCAATCATGAATAGACTGCAAGCTGAAGTCTAATTATACTTAATTAATACGAAACTCAACTGTTGTGTCAAACTGTAAAGTGCAAAAAGTACTGCCACGACACCAACGTCTTTCAATCTTATCTCCAAAATTAATAGTGCAAATATGAGCAATTTCATATTTTAAGTGCAGGCTAGAGTCCTGACTTGAAATGAAAGTGAAATGCTGCAGCATGATATGAGGATCTCAAGAAGAGACCAATCTCAAAATAACCATGATGTCTAAGTTTTTTATAGAAGAATACGCTATATAAACTTTAATGACATCCTATTCTTAATACATAGGATTTAATATGGAGTTGGCCCATGGTTTAGGAATGTGTTTATGGGAATTTTTGACCATTCTTCCAGGAGAGTATTTGTGAGGTCAGGCACTGATGTTGGACGAGAAGGCCTGACTCACAGTCTCTGCTCTAATTCATCCCAAAGGTGTTCTATCGGGTTGAGGTCAGGGCTCTGTGCAGGCCAGTCAAGTTCCTCCACACCAGACTCACTCATCCATGTCCTTATGGACCTTGCTTTGTGCACTGGTGCGCAGTCATGTTGGAACAGGAAGGGGCCATCCCCAAACTGTTCCCACAAAGTTGGGAGCATGAAATTGTCTAAAATGGCTTTGAATGCTGCAGCATTAAGTGTTCATTTCACTGGAACTAAGGGGCCAAGCCCAACCACTGAAAAACAACCCCACACCATAATCCCCCCTCCACCAAACTTTACACTTGTCACAATGCAGTCAGGCAAGTACCGTTCTCCTGGCAACCGCCAAACCCAGACTCATCCATCGGATTGCCAGGCAGAGAAGCGTGATTCATCACTCCAGAGAACACGTCTCCACTGCTCTAGGGTTCAGTGGTGGAGTGCTTTACACCACTGCATCCGACGCTTTGCTTTGCACTTGGTGATGTAAGGCTTGGATGCAGCTGTTCGGCCATGGAAACCCATTCCATGAAGTTCTCTACGCACTGTTCTTGAGCTAATCTGAAGGCCACATGAAGTTTGGAGGTCTGTAGCTAATGACTCTGCAGACAGTTGGCTACTTCAGTACACTGTACACCTCAGCATGCGTTGTCCCCGCTCTGTGATTTTACATGACCTACCACTTTAGCCGAGTTGCTGTTGTTCCCAATTGCTTCCACTTTGTTTTAATACCACTAACAGTGGAATATTTAGTAGCAAGGATATTTCACGAATGGACTTATTGCACAGGTGGCATCCTATCACGGTACCACACTTGAATTCACTGAACTCCTGAGAGCGACCCATTCTTTTGCAAATGAAAGAATGCTTTTGTAGAAGCAGTCTGCATGCCTAGGTGCTTGATTTTTTTATACCTATGGCTATAGAAGTGATTGGAACACCTGAATTCAACAATTTGGAGGGATGACCCAATACAATACAGTGTATCTCCTGATTGCTGTGCAACTAAAACAGTTATTTGGTTAAGATTATTGCCAGCAAAGGTTCCACTAATTGCTATTTATCACATACTTGTTCCATCAATATGGCAATGTAAAATGTTGTGGATTGCTCATTAAAATCCATTACTATATGATTTTGATGAAGATCAGATAACATTTTAAGAGTCATTCATGTAGAAATCTGGATTCCAAGGGGGTCTAAAAACTGCATGCATGAGTGAACCAAGACAGTGTAAATCAATGACATGAATCAGTCACAGTTATTGCCTGAATTTATTGAAAGGTTTAAACAAATTCACACAAACTCTACGGAGAGGGGAAAAAAAAACATTCAGGACAATAAAATGAAGGAAAAAAACTGAATACTCTCCTCACCTAGGCATGCAGGAATTCACACACACATACAGACACACACCACCACTCCAGATGTTTGATATTCACAAACACAAGTTAGAAAAAAGGAGAAAGTTTAGCAACAATTATCTGAACTGTACTAGACGGATGGCTCTCATTTGTTTTATTGCTGGAGGTACCATGTAAACATTTGAACTGTTGTTAGTCAGAATTGAAGAGTAAAGGGCAGATGAAACAAGGGAAAAAGTCTGCAGTAAACAAGTTTGATTTGGTTTGATGCTGACAAATTTCTTGTAGGTCTGAGAGGGGTGGTGGTATTGAACTTTTCTGAAAACAGGAAGCATCAATGGACTGGAGGACGAATATCGCATGCTGACCGACTTCTGATAAAAACAATCTTTTACAGATATTTTGGCAAAAAAATGGGGTCCGGAACATTTTGAGTCTCAGGCTCCCAAATTCAAATTTGATTTCAAGAAACAAACATGAAATAATCATCAAATTTGTACAGTGGCCATTTCAATTATCATTCAAATGGTAATTTCAAACAGCTTGAAAACAAAACTTTGTTCTACTTAAAGATGTCTTGGGGTCCAAAAGAAAAAAAAAAAAACCTGATTTCCTGAAATGTCCTTAACACTTTTACTTATGTGAAGTTCTCACAACACCCACACACTGCGTCATCTTTCCAGCTGTAACCCTTCCTATAGAGCCTTCAAAGCCATTAAGGATCAATTACGTGATCTCCAAATTTTGGGTTGCATAACAGACATATCAAAAACTGCTACACATAAAGTTCATCTTGGCCCAAATTAGCAGCAACGTTGAGAGTAGCGTACATGATAGGATCTATCAAGTTTTTCCTGGTAAACGGGGTGCATGGAACGACTTTCACCCATGAAAATGAGTTTCACAAACAAATAACCATCCTTTTTGGTAAGTGGGGTCTAGCAGCATACAAGTTAATTTTAGAATGTGTTTAATGAAAACCGGGGGCTCCAAGAGCACTAAATGAATTGTTTGGGATACGGGGGGGATTAGATCAGGGGTCACTGAGAAATTACTCAACAAAAAACAACCCTAGGGTCAAACCTGCAGTGGTTCACTTCATGTGGACCAGGATGACACTAATTGGATACTGATATGTGATCAGGAATCTATAAACACGTTTAGTCACCTTAGAAGTGTCCCCTCACTTTCTCAGAGCTGTCACCCAATCCTTCACAGTGTAAATGGAAGCACAAGTGATCAGCGCCCCCATTATTTATGGATTGATATGTAATTCACTTGCACATCCCAAGCTCCCAATATGCCTATAAAACTAATACCTGACGTGTCATTAAACATTACAGGAGTTAGCTAGTTATTTGAGGGACCAAAACCAAGTGTTGGAAGCCTGAGGTGGAAGCGAGTAAGGAAATTCAATCCTTACCCACCATGACTGATTGGCTCAGACACAGGTCCAGGTATACCAAAAAAGGGTGAGAACTTCCTGCCAACTGACTCATGTGTAGCCATGTGACCGACAGTTCAAAGCTTACAGGGACAACCCCACACTTACAGAACTTAAGGGAGGGGAGGGCAATTTCAAGTCAGGCAGAGACCAAGCAGCTGCCATAGCAGACTACCCTAATGTTCACTACCAGACATAGGAGTGCAAAACCATCACAGCTTAGAGTGGAACACCTAGGCTCTCAAAATGACTGCAAGCCACAGGTCTTAAGACAACTGCAGTCCATTAGATACCCATGGCAGCAATCAGTCTGATGCACATCAGAGCAGCAGAGGGTTGACACTTTGTACCTCATGCCAACAGCACTACCAAAACCAGGGCAGATGCCATGTGACCGAGGGTGACCACAAACTCAGAGGGGTCATGGCTCCAAAAAGCAGCAGGATGTTCGATTGCATAGAAACACTGCGGACCATGTCAAAGCAAGGAATTCCCAACCCAATGCCTAGTCAACCGGTAACATTCACACTAGTCTTCCAAGAGCAGAAAGCACCTTACCCAAGCAACTAAGTGGCCGATGCCTCTTACCACTCAGATGTAAGGGAAAGAACTGATCTCCATGCAACTCTTGCCTATCATTCAGGTTTGTTTTATTCATTTAAAAATTCCCAAAAAGAAACATCCACACATTTGCCATAGTTTAATTCAAATTAAACGATCTGACTAAAATTATATGCATCATATGTATCCTGTCAGACATGTTGCTAAACTTTGTTCACTGTTTGGAGAGCTTCACAGGGGCTGACGTGCAGGCAGCTCCGGTGTCACTTTAGAACCCGTGCACCTTCAGCTGCTCCTCCTTGACAATGCCGACCTGCAAGAGCAACAAAACTCATGAGGGAAGTCGAGCCTTCGACAACTCACACTAGCCAGGACTCCCTGTCCCGCATAGCCGCTAAGGAACAGCAAGTATAGCGGTCATTTAGATTCACTCCTGGCCTTGTACTAGGATCAACTCTAGCACAAATTTAAGGCCCATCAGGAATTTTGACCCCATCAGAATGATGCACACCATCTCATGCAAAGGGGCCCAGCATACCATTAAGAGATCCAGTCACCTAATTAGTTTGGACTTTTTATCCACCTATCCACCACCTAAAGCAAAATTTAACATTGCACAGAAAGTTCTGTTGATCTTAGCCCATCACTAATACAGCCTGGAGCATGATTAGCAAACAAGTGCTGCCAACAGTAGCCCAGCATGCAACATGCAGTTGAGTCTCTTCAACACCACCCAGAGCTGGAAGGAGTTCAAAACACCATGACAAACAAGGCCCAACTACAATGTCTCACAATTATCACACTGGAGGAACCAATTCTCACCTTTCAAATTAGCACGAACAAATCATTAATTCTGCCCGAGAGTTCTCATACACTCACCTCAAGCAAGAACTGGCAGATATTTTTCCGCTGGTCTCCCTGAAGCTGAATAACTTCCCCGTACTCCGGGTGCTCAATCACAGTGCCATTGCAGGCAAATTTCTGCAAAACAGACACCAGCTCAGCCCCATAATTTCCTCTCACCCCCATAGTCACACTGAACTTCACAATTTGGCATTAAACAGGTATACAGTTTTCATTTGGCACCTAGCAACACAGGACACCAGAATTACACACAGGAATTTTGAACCAGTATCCAGTCCCTGAGTTAAATCAGGCACATTAGGAACAAAGCCAGTGCACTGTGGATGTCTGAGGTTCTAGTTAATTCCACCTGAACATAACGCTGGGAAACTGATCAATCTACTCCCTAGAGTTTGTCAGACTGTGGTTTGTAGCCACAAGAGAGTGAATACCTTCTTGAAGGCCTTCACAAGCTTCTTCTTGTCGTAGTCATTGGCTATCCCTTGCACGGTAGTCAGGGTCTTGCGGCCGTTCCGCTGCTGGATCCTTATGTGGATGTAATCCTCGGTCCCGGCCGGGAGCAGGTCGTCACCCTTGGTTGCATCAGCAAAGGGATCTGGGATTGAGATGATCACCACACTGCCGTCACCATAACAAACATGGAAATATGACCCCTCAAGTACCCCCGCCCCCGTGTTGTGTTCATCGTTATACTAGACAAATCCATAATGGCACTCATTACACGCTATAAACCACGGCCACACCATGTTGACCATTGGTAAAGGCGAAGATGTTGGGTGTTTTCCAAGCGGATGCCAGTGGACGCACGAGTCAGCGTTCTAACATCGCCATTCTTTTTAACAGCTTATATAGGGTTCATATTGGGAGGATAGGCCTCAAACCGTGGCCTAACAACCTGAACGGTGGCTGTCGATCGCATCACTGGCTACGACGGCGGAGGTCCCACGGGGATTGACAAGAGACGCCAAGGAGCTGCAGTCTCTGCCGGAAAGCCCACCCCCCTCCTAGGACAAACAACCGACTACATGTCGACGGATGCAGGAGAGCATGGGCCAGCTACCCGGGGGAGGGGGAATACAAAGACAGCTTTGTGTTCCTAGCACCTTCAAGATTCCCGACCACAGCCGGCTAACTAGCCCGTTATTTGACAGAAGAATTTTCCTAGAGACAATATAGAAACGCAACGGGGAAATTAAATGCTAATTTCAAACGCGCTAAGTGCACGGATTTAACTCAAATATCGATAAACATCCCTACATTTAGGAAGCAGCGACAGAGTCGACGCGCCCTGTTCACTAAAAATGCCTCTCGACTTCAAAAGACGCAGCGTCACCATTAAAAAAAATACTAGAACAGCAAATATCCACAAACAAGATGCAATAAAAAGACTATTCCGTCTAGCTGTCGCCGAGACGCCATTTTGAGCCGGGTGGCGGTATCCGCCGAAGAGGCACCGCCGTGTAGTCGCCGACTAGCCGCCTTAAGAACTCACCCGTGCGGCCCACTTACCGAAAGATTGGAGGTTCTGGATAGTGGACATGCGATATTAGGACGATAACTGTGTGGAGATGAAATCTACCGGCGCTTATCTGCCGTGCCTTTTGGCGTTAGCAGTAGGTAGCCCTTTAAAAATCTTTAAAGACGAAAATACGGACTTAAAACAAAACCGAAGGACCTCAAACCGTCCCAGCTATTTTTCTCTCGCAAAATGGCCGACACAGCTTGCTCCTCGCATTAGGAGATATAACGTGACGTGAGAGGCGTGGCCATGCAGCACTCGCTATTTACGACTGCGGGATTGGCTGAAACTGAGACCATGGCAGAAGACCGGTCTTGACGAGTCCAGTCATGTGACGGCACTTACCGTATATGGCAGGGCTTCTGGAAGTCCGGACCTAGCCGATAGTACGCCTTATGAATCAATATGGTTAATGTGAAAATCCTTAACGGGGTTTGAAGTACAAAAGCGTAATGTAAAACCACCAAAGTTCGCAAACACATAACTCAGCATAATCTCCACCCCCAATGACAGAAAGCCAAACGTTAAACCAGTCTTTGAGATCCCATTATTGTTATATATTGATGTGTCATGTCGAAGGTCATAGTTAATTCGTTAAAGTCAAATGAGATGCTGTTTTCCTATTGAAAATTGTTCCCAAACTCTAACTTTGAACAAAAATCTTTTGTGGACCTTTGATCAAAAAGTTTGAGAAAACGTGATACATACGTGATATTATACCCAGACATTTTTAATTACTGTAATTCACTAGTGTTTGTTCATATTTATTTCATGCAAAGTTTTTTAAAAACATTTTTAGGTTTACATAAGCGGGTAGACGACAGAATGGATGGATGTTCTCCATAAAGGCTTGTCTAGTCAGCAATCTTTTATTATTTACAATTCAATTGCAGTGAGCAATTTATATTCATATTTCGGTTGCGTTGTAAAACGAATTTTGTAAATGAATAAATATACAAGTGAAAATAATAGCTGTCCCCCATTTAAAGTAACTTTAACAAGAAAATGGTGAATATATTATAATAACATTCTGAGGGATAGCCAACATGAATTTAGGAGAGGTAGGTCCTGTTTAACTAATCTTCTTCAGTTCTTTGAGGAAGCTACAACTGACAGGAAACAGAGTAGTTTTTAGAGGCACAATGTCACAGTCGGCCTGTGTTCATAGTGGGGTACTGCAGGGTTCAATTTTAGGACCATTATTGTTCCTAATTTACATTAATGATATTGACACCAAAACATACAGTAAACTGGTTAAATTTTCAGACAACACCAATTAAGGTGGGTGGTGTAGCAGATACTAAATTAGCAGCACAGAGGCTACAACGGGATCTTGGTTTAATTAGTGACTGGGCTGATACCTGGCAGATGAAATTTGATGTAGATAAATGTAAGGAAATCCAAGCAGGGAGCAGAAATATAAAGTACAGATATTTTATGGGTCCCACTGAAATAAAGGTAGATGATGTGTATGTTGATGCTTCCATGTCCCACTCTCGCCAGTGTGGGGAAGCAATAAAAAAGACCAATAGGATGTTGGGTTACATCTCTAGGTGTGTGGAGTTTAAGTCAAGGGAGGTGATGCTACAATGATATAATTCCTTGGTAAGACCCCACCTAGAATATTGTGTGCAGGTTTGGTCACCATATCTTAAAAATGACATTGCTGCCTTGGTAAAGGTTCAACGTAGGGCTACAAGAATGATTCCTGGTCTTAGTGGAATGTCTTATGAGGAGAGTTTAGCTGAGCTGAATCTGTTCAGCGTCACGCAATGGAGATTAAGGGGGGACATGATCCAGGTATATAAGATTCTAACAGGTCTGGATGCTGTTCAGCCAAATGGCTATTTCAATATTAGTTTAAATACTAGAACTCATGGCCATAAGTGGAAATTAGCGGGAGAACTTTTTAGACTGAATTTCAGAAAACACTTCTTTACACAGCGTGTAGTTAGAGTATGGAATAGTCTTCATGCTAGTGTAGCGCAAGCTAAAACCCTGGGTTCCTTTAAATCAGAGCTAGATAAGATTTTAACAACTCTGAGCTATTAGTTAAGTTCTTCCCAAACGAGCTTGATGGACCGAATGGCCTCCTCTCGTTTGTAAATTTCTTATGTTCTTTTGTTCTTATGTAAACAGCTTCTGGGAGAGAAGTACTACCACATCCAGCTACAGATAACATGAGAGTTTTATGAACAATGCTACATTACCAAGCAGCACACATACTAAGCAGTACATTACCAAGCAGCACACATACTGTCTATGCCATGCTTCCTTACAGGTGCTACGGTAATTACCGTGTTCCCTCCACCATCCACACCGTCCAATTGGAAAACACCTATTCATCCCCACCTGTCCTCATGTGATCAGACCACTCCATGCAATACACCCCCCAGTGGCCAAAATCCATAATACACCCCAGAGTTATAAATGGCTCCCACACATACTATTCCTTTTACTAATTTCCCCCGGCACTCAGAGCGCGGCAATTGTAGTTTCTGTAGACGATTCGCCTGTAAATTGTTATTATTTTAATTTAGTCGTTCTTGTTGCTTTTGTGCAGTAGATAAATAATAGAGTATTTGTTTTTAATAAATTAATTTTAAGATAATTCCATTTTGCGGGAGTCCCGCGATTAATTGTATTCTCCCGCAACCCGCACGTACATGAGGACCTTACCGCCCACACCCGCATTCACCCATCAAATCTTGTCCCGCGCCTCACTCTGTGCGTTGGGTCCCGCGGGACTTGTTGGAGTCGCACTCCGCCGGGTCCGCTGATGAGAAGAGATTCACAGCACAGACGAGGAGTAGTATCATTTTACCGACTCGGACCTTTGAGTCTCGTTCAGCAAAATGAACGAATCTTTTTTCGAGTCATTTCGTTCATTTTAGGCCACTTAAAATTAATAAATTGTTTTACATGACTCAAACTTCTAAAATATTGGTGAGTAGAGGATTTTATATTTTTAGCGAAAAGACGAACGGCAACAGAGATATACTAAAACTAGAAAATTAAACTTTATTCTGTCAGTGTCTCAACATTTTAAACTCTCAACGGTGCAAACAATAAAAAGTGGAAAAATCCGAGGCTGACATTCAAGATTTTTCACTTACGGCAGCCAGTTTGAGAGAAACACAAGATGATTTCAAACGACGTACGTGCGTATTGACGATCTCTGCGTATTGACAATCTCTGACAGTTTTTGAGGTGAAAAAAACGGATTTTTTGAAAAATATAAAATATAAAAAAAATCGAGGCGGCACCAAAAAATTGAGGCGGGCGTCCATGTAAAACTATTTATTAATTTTAAGTGGCCTTAGCAAAATATAATTAAAATGTTACCTGTTACCTCCCTAACACATCTACTGCTTATACAAATGTTGATCACACTACAAACAAGACAAAACTATTATGCTATAAGAAACAGAAAATATTAATTCACCTGGGTCTTTAGTCTATGATTCGCTCACCTCGCCTCTTATCTGACAAGTTTTAGGGTTTGAGTCGTTCGTTCATCACGTGACAGCCCAGCTAACCAAGGCAGTCTGAGCCGGAAAAAGAATTGATTAGTTCATCTCTCCAGTCTTCGGGTTTGAGTCGTTCGTTCATCACGTCACAGCTCCATAAGTTTAACCTATACAGTCTGAGCCAGAAACAGAATTAATTAGTTCATCTCTCGAGTCTTCGGGTTTGAGTCGTTCGTTCATCACGTGACAGCCCCATAAGCTTAACCTATTCAGTCTGAGCCGGAAGGAGAATTGATTAGTTCATTCCTCGAGTCTTTCGAGTCGTTCATTCTTATGTTATGTGACGTGACAGCACTGGATATAGAAATTAGTTACTAATTTACAACCTTCCTTACAAACGGGTGCATAGTTTATTATTATTATTATTGTTATTATTAATTAGTTTAAGTTATCATAACCGTAATATTTTAAACTAACCTTAATCATTCAAATTCAAAATGTTATTTGCTTTTACTTTGTCATTATGTCCTTTTTGACCAATCTTTTTATACAAATATTAGATCAGTATGTTAAGTCTGCATAGGAAAAACAATTATTATACCAGGAAACTCAAAATTGGAGTAAAAATTAACACTGCTATAGAATAGTGTACGATTATTAACTATAAGTATTAACTAGTGACACTGACACTGACACTGTAGCCCCAGCAGACCAAGGAAGTGGCCTACAGTAGAGACCTGCACTCCCGCGGGAGTACCAGGGAGCTGAGAGACACTCCAGTCAGTCTGTAGCTCCAGCTTTGCCCTGCTAAATCAACATATTTCCTGTAACATGCATGCTTTAGCATTACATTCATAGTAATTCCCTTCATTAGTCTGTATTTTATCAGAGCCCCACCATGGATTTCACACAAATGTTTCAGCGTTACACCTTTATCACTGTTTGTGTGGAAGACATGCTTGGCCTCTAATACTGTAAAATACAAAGCATCAGAGGTTGGACCCGATCATTACTTTGACTATTTTACAGTGTCTACGAACCAATCATATTTATCATCCAACTTAGGGCAGTGAAGTTTTTTTCCCTTCATTATCGCATGACAGAGGCATGAATTGTTACCCAAAATAAATCATGTTTATAATAACAAATGGTTATTCTATTTTTCCGGTGTGTATATATGTACTGTTTACAATGTAAATCCACAAGCAGCGCCCCTCAGTGGATAAGGATAGTTATTGCTTTAGCACTCTCCCTTTGTACAATCACAGGATCATTTTAGATGCCTGAAATGTCTAGTTTCACTTTCAAAGTTTCTTCACTTTTTGGTTGTCGAGGGTGCCTTTTTCTAAGTGGCCTGGCTGGGAGATTTTTCAGAGACAAACAAGAAACACGAACTAGTCAATCCACATTAAAAGCTTTATAAAATATTTTAGTACATTCATAGCGATATTCTTTTTTTCGAACGGCAAACAAACTACAAACAAACCAAGTCGCCATGTTGAAATTACGTCACGGGGCAACTCGCACAACAAAATCTTGTCCGACTTCATTGTCATAAAAGAGGCGTGTTTCCGACGGGAAGTGACGTTTTTCGTGACATTTTCATCCGAGTTCCGACTTGGAGAGAAATAATCTAACGCACCATGTGTTCTTTTGTCATCAATCATGGTCCACCCGCATCGTTCTCCCCCTGCCTCTGGCCCCCCGTCTTCCATTCTCTCCCCTTTTGTTAAACATCAGACCCCATCCCACCCTGCCACTCCC